ATACATGTTGCTTTTATACAAATCCAAGATATAATTTCTAGGCTATATGAATTCATGTTCACTATATCACTTAAATTCTATTGGTTCAATATTCATTCGCTCGTTCATTTAGTTATTCGTTCATTTGCTCATTTACTTGTTCGCTCGCTTGTTCGCTCGCTTCACATAATTTGATCTTTATCCAATAATATATGAGATATTTATAATCCAATAATAAAATATTATGACGAAAGATCATTATATAACAATATGATCAAATATCATGCAAACATATACTCACTAATTTTAATAAAAAAGAATACTTTTTGAAGTTCAATACAAATTTATTATTATTATATAAAAGAGATATACCAATTCTATCACAGTCATAATATTTTTGGATTATGAAAATAAACTGATATAACAAAAAGAACTGGAAATTATTTGTCCACTTGGCTCAGATTACTATAATTACAGAAAGTTACTGACAAGTGCTTAAATATAATTACAAATATAATTATAATAAATTTTATCTTAATTATAACTAATATTTTATTTAATAGATGATTTTTTAGAATTATATATACTCAATGCTATTTGTAATATTGTATTAGCATTGTTATTTCAAAAAATAACACAATCTGTTCATTTAAATAATTTTTATAATCTATAATTAATAAATACTTTGAGAATCTAAAAGAATTAGAATTAAAATTAACTAAATATAATAATTATATTTTGAAATATTGCATTATAATTTTAGATAAAAAGTTATTTTTGATATTAAATAATAATAGTATTTTAGTTTTAATTATATAAAATAATAATAATTCTGAATTTTTTATTAGATCTTGTGTATAATGCTCTTATAAGTTTTAATATGTATATTTTATTAGAGCAGTATAGAAAAAGTGAATTAATCATTCAAAAGAAAGCAATTTTAAAAATCTTAATATAGTTTTTTAAAACAAGTTGAATATTATATAACTTAATTGATGATATTATAATGAAAAATCAAGATATTTTATATTAATATTTCTATATTGAAACTTCAATAAAATTTACTTAGTTTTTTCTAAGTTGATCAAGAATTTGTTATCTTTTTTCTGGTTTACAAAGATGAATTCTTTGAAATTTTTAGCAGATCACTAATTATAATTAATAAATGTAGTGAATTATTCAAATTCAAAAAATAGTTTTATATTTATACAAAAATAAATATATTTATAATAATTGTTATTTATAATAATCACATTTTAATTGGCTAATTAGAATTTGAGTTAGAATTAGGATCAAGATTCTGAATATGTGATTGGTTAATATTGAAATTGTTATATTAACAATTATTATAATTAAATTGATTTTTATACAATATCTTGATAAAAATTTAAAATAAACATTTTTTATTATTAGTATTTGATCAATTTCATGTTCAAAGTTCACAAAAAACTATTTAAAACCATTTTATTTTTTAAAGCTTGTAAATAATCATTTGTGTTCAAAATTTTATTATATATTCAAAATGGTGAACAAGTTTAATTATTATGTTAATGAAAATTTACTTTTCATAGTGTCATATTCATTTATTATTTGAGTAAGTGTTCATTCGTAATTGATTAATGATTAACAAGTTACTCTTACACGGAATAGATTATTGCTTTTTGGTTTCAATATAAAGGAATTCTAGTTTACCATTAATTTTATTTTTTTATAGCAGAATTGTATCTCATTTTCGTGTGTACATACTCTGATACTATTACTATTGATACTATTATGATTATCCCTGAACTGAGCAACACAAAAATCTACATTCAAAGGGTTGTTGATTGATATCAGTCAACACAAAAAAAAGAATTCTATCCAAAAATTGTTATTATCGAGTAATCTGCAAAAAATTTCCAAAAATTCTGAAAAAAGCAAGACAAATGATTAGTAGTAATCTAATCATCCGTTATCCTCATTATTGCAAAAATTGTTGCTGGTTGTTTGCGATTGTTGTTATAAGATCCAAAGCAACATGAATAGTAAGAGAGAGAGAGAGACTATTATTTATCTCTGTTGCTTGGTTTGATTTAGTCGTCGTCTTTTACCATCGACTGCTACTTCCTCTCATGGTACTAGTGCTACCGAATCCACGGCCACTGCCGTACCTCTGTCTTCCTGTATACAAATATAAATTGGATAAATTATTTTCAATTACAACAATAATAAATAGAGTTAAAATGATACGTACTTTCTATACTTGAAGGGGTGGCAATTTTTGATAATTCTATTAATTTAGGGTCAATTTCTTGATTTGCTTCTCGCAAAATATTAACCAAATCTTTAGCCTGCTTAGAGTTCTCCATTGTGAAGAAAGTTATAGCAGCGCCTTTAGCGCCACCACGACCTGTTCGACCAATGCGATGTACATAATCCTAAATAATTTCAAAAAGTCTGGGTAAATCTCGTAATGGATCGATTATAACAAGTATTTAATAATGATGGTAATTACCTCGACATTGGTCGGAAAATCATAATTGATAACTAGCTTTACATCTTTAACATCTGAAGGAAAAAAGAACGTGAGAAATAAAGATCAAAGATACCAAATATCAAAAGATGTGCTGCTTCCTATTATTATCACTATGGTTGGAGCCCAGAAAGTGCAATCATGAACTGGATGAGATAATGTCAGAACATCTTCATCTCAAAAATATGGCAAACAAATAGAATCTCAACAACAAAAACAAAACTTATCATCTGTCAGCAGCATCTGGGCAATCTTACTACTATGTGAAACAAAAAACAAACAGACACAGCACATGACATAGAATTATCAAACCAAGAAAAGGATATGTAAGCCCCATGCCAAGTATATAAGCAGCAGCAACAAACATTTCAATAAAAGACCGCCGTTGAACTGGATTGTCATGGAAGAGAGAGGAGGCAATTGTTATTTCCATCCGTTGGATATTTCTCGTTGATGGCCAGGGTCACGTAGACACACAAAAGCCACACAGTGGAGAATTGATGCGGGATGAAAGTCAAAGAAAACTTTTGAATCAGCCAAGGCTAAGACAAAAACTTTTTTATGTTTGTGTGTTATTATTTTGATCGTTGAGAACCTGGGATGATGACAACCAGCCATTGGACGGAATATTGATCTGTAGCAGTTGTTGCCCACAGCTACTACTGCTGGCATTTTAGGGACCTACATACGCTCAAAAAAGAAGGAGGAAAGATAATTCGTTATAGAGTATAACATTGCATAGTATAATTAAAAACATATCATACCAATCCCGCGGGATGCTACATCCGTTGCCACCATAATCGGCGATTTTCCAGTTCGGAATTCCGATAATACCCAATCACGTTCTGTCTGAGCTTTGTCGCCGTGAATTGCCAGAGCTGGCCATCCATCTTGTCGTAAATATTTCGTGATTTCGTCAGCTGTACGTTTGGTTCCAGTGAAGATCAGTGTCTTATTATCTCGCGCGTCCATTATGCGTTCAAGATGTTTCACCAATCTGATGACGTTATTGATTTTATTGGATTTCGAAATTAACACAAAAAATTTTAAGTGGAAAGCAAAGAAAAATTTATATGAAATCATTGGTACGGTACTTTGAACGTTTTTCATATTCAGAACAGACTTCGACAGTTTGTGCAATATTATGACTTGCTGATAAATCCATTGAACCTATGTTGACTTGAATGAAATCGTGCAAGTAGTCTTCTGCAAGTCGTTTCACCTCTTTAGGCCACGTAGCACTCCACATAAGTGTTTGGCGATCAGGTCGAATTTGATCAACAATTTTTCGTATTTGTGGTTCGAAGCCCATATCCAGCATACGATCTGCTTCGTCAAGAACAAGATAAGTGACACGACGAAGGTTTGTGCGCCTTGATTCTAACATATCAATAAGTCGTCCAGGAGTTGCGATACAAATTTCTGCGCCTGAGGGTTTAAAGGAAGGTATTTGAAAATTTGTAATTGATTAAATATTTGTTATTCTATGCCTGCTCACCTTGTTGTAGTTCACGAGCTTGAGGTCCTTTTGGAACACCGCCATAGACGCACGTATTCTTGATTTTTGATGATTTGCCAAATTTTGTGCATTCATTTTGAATTTGAACTGCAAGCTCACGAGTAGGTGCCAGGATCAAAACAATTGGCCCATCACCAGGTTCAAGGAATGGCTGAGCATTTATGTGTACTATAGCTGGCAAACAATATGCTAATGTTTTACCAGAACCTGTTTCAGCAATACCCACCACATCTCTACCAGAAAGGGCCATCGGCCAACCTTGTGACTGAATAGGCGTTGGCGCCGTAAAGCCGAGTTCTAATACCTCTTTTAATACATAAGCTATAAAAAATAACTTAAATAAATAAAATTTCTTACTATCATTTGATAAATCATTAAATAATTAATTAAATTACCAGGAAAATTTGCTTCATCAAAAGTCTGCACAGGTTTAGGTATATCACGACCGAAAACCTTCATTTCATGTTTCCGACGATATTCCTCAACTTCTGTTAGAGAGCGTGCTGCGACATTCGGATGTTCCCGATAAAAGTTCTTTTCGAATTTAGTGAGTTTCGAAATATCCCAATCTTGACGAGTTAATGAAGCGCCCAGTGATGACATTCGATCAGCAGTACTTGTACTCGCTCCGCCAGAAGCATATGATCGATAGTTGCCCGAAGTAGACGAATATCGATCAGTGTTTGTTCCTCCTCCTCCTCCCCCGCCGCCGCCGCCACCACCGCTACTCCCATATCGTTCATAGTTTGATGGTGGACTACGATCTCGATAATTTGAACTGTTGCGAGAATCATATCTAGTAGAATTATTGTACCCATCATAATAATCATAGTCGCTAGAAAATTAGTAAAAAACTAGGTGTGTAATTATTTCTCTTTTTGACCGAGTGCCTATTAAGAGATTCGAACATAAAGACACCAAGGGACTTACTCTTTACGCTCTCGACGGCTGCGGTCATCATAAGATCGATCGTTTCCACGATCACTATTGCCACTACTACCGTACCTTGATGAATATGAACTTGACCCGTAGTTTCCATTTTTGGTGTATGAAGAATTAGGGTATGATGAGGTATTACTGTTGGTGCTGTTGTTATTATATGATGATGAAGGCGGTGGTGCTGCCGAGTACGAAGCGGTTGTAGGTGGTGCGTACATTCCTGGTGGTGGTGGTGGTGGTACACCTGGCGCTCCGTAACTTGAAGGGTAAGACATTTTCAAAATTTGTAAATTAACTTTTTTTGGTTATAAGATTATTATTAAGATATATATTAGTCAGCTCTATTCTTGTGAATCAGCAACAATCTGAAATATTGAGGAGGAAGAGACGTAAAAAAACTTTTTATAATTGTTATTTTTTATATTGATGGGAAATAATTGCATACCGATACATCATATTTAGTACCAATTACGTATGCCACCTGAAAAGCGCAGCAACCAATATTTTTGGTCATCGGAAATGTAATTGGCTAATTCCGGCTCACTGACTGTATTCAGTGCACTTCTAAAATATCAGTTGTTCAAGGATATAATAAAAATTAGAAAATAAAGAATATGTTTGAACCATTTAACATGAAAAAGAATTACACAATACAGACTCCGGCGCTTATGCAAGGGTATCTATCTATCATGAAGAATTAGTAATCTCTTCTCCATCGAGAACTATTATTACAAGAGTTTTGCAATAGAAATGATTTTATTTAATCTGTAACATAAAAAACGTAAACAAACACAATAGAAGGTCTTCAACTACCGCAACGACTGAAGATGCTAAGGGGGTTGATTATACGCAATTAACAGATGCAATGGCTTATACGGGGGTAGATTTGCAGGTACGTGTGTATTTAAAACCAGGTTTCGTGGATTAATTAATGATTCGATATTATTAATTAATTGTGAAACTAGGAAGAAAGCGAGTACCTGCAGAAAGAAGCCCTACAATCTCCTGGTGTTGGCGCTTTTGGGATGGATACCGATCGTTCCAAATTTCAGAGATTTATGAATCCGAGGATATTACAGACTCGGGTTAATTCAATAGGTGAGGGAGGGCATTGATAATACTAAATCGGATATGTACTTATTATACATATTTATTGTATCTATTCATTAGCTCAGAAGCATAATTTAGCTGTTCACCCAGATGTATATCAATGTCTAGCTCTTGCGGCCGAAGAACGGACAAGAGTCCTACTCGAACAAATGTGGAAAGCCAAAAATCATCGGACGCGCTCAGATCATTTACATGAGCCCCCTCTTTCCGCCAATAATAAACCTTTATATAAGGAGATCATCACTCAGGATGTGAAAGCGCAACTGCTCACGATTGAAAACGCTGAACGGGAAGAAGAACGAAAAAGAAAAGAGATTCTAACAAAAAAGAATAAACCAGAGAAATCTGAAGTAACTACTGAACAACAGAAACAGAAGCTAAGAGAGGTTCCAAAGCTCTCACAAGCACCCAAAAAACAAAAAAAAAGGGCCACCGCAAAAGAAACCATAAAAAAAGTCACCTCAGAAGCGCAAAAGTCGAAAATAAGTACTAATGAGACAGCTCTGAAAGCTGCTGGTGGATTAACAAAAAGCTGGATGATAACGACGCCTGTTGAATCAACACCACCATTGCTACCACCATCTTCTGTATCATTAACATCGTCTAATGGGGTTGATGGCCGAGGTGTAGTACGTGGTCGAGGTCGCACTGCTTCTATAAGTCAGCCAGCTAAAACTGTCTCTTCTACAATAACAACAACAGCATCATCGTCGTCACCATCAGCATTTGAAATTGCATCAACAACGATGATATCAGGAGAAATTAACATATCATCGCCGCCTCCTTTACATGCTGTTAATCAAAATACAATGATTACAGCGATGGATGCGCTACAAGTATTAGAAAATGATCGTAGCGTGGGATCTGGCGGAATTAATCAAAAGATCATAATGAGAGGGTATGCGAAATATTTACGCTAAATTGAAGTAATAATAACAATAGGAATATCTTTTGGAGTTCTATTATAATCCAATTACAATTGCTCAATTCATTTATTCATAACAAAAATTGATTATGATATAATTGAGTTTGTAGTTTGCAATTCAACCTATATTTTGCTCATTGTAAATATTATATGTATTTGAATAAAAATACAAAAATATCAAAATAAAATGTTTTTGTGATACACAAGATGATCTTTATGCGCAATCAAGACATTATTACCATATACGGACCGCCTATTTTAATAATAATAAATATAACGATAATCTATCATCATAGAAATATATACTGATACTTGTAAAAGCGCAATGATAGATCACCTTTTAGGGAGGCCTTCTCCATCCTGGAAGCGAGCTCAAGTCATTATAGTTTCTCTATTTTGGTATTTTATTCATTGTTGTACCTTAATTGATTTTTGTTCAATTATTACTGTATAAAATTATTTGATTTTTGCAAAAGTAGTAAAGTTTAATTCGCAATCAAAGGTTTCTTTATTTACATAAAGCTGATAGACGAGGTCCAAAGTTCTTTCGTAGATGGAACGAGAGACTTTGTATGTCGTTTTTTTTTTCGATGTTTGTGTTTTAATAGTTAATTACTTTATATTGATTATTGTGCCTTAAATGAAATGAAATTAGCTCGATTTTCTCCTTTCCAATTGGTCGTGGGCACGTTAACCTGTCTGTATATACTGAAGAATGCTGACCGATTAGTTGGACTTGGATGTAATTATATTGCTTATTTGTAAAACTTCTCTCAATCATCAATCTATTAACATGTTCTCTTATAATTCTATTAGCACCTGAACCATTGGCACGTCTTGTATGTATGCAGCTAGTTAAAATGAATAATGGTGTTATGAAATATTTCATGCAAATTACAATTCTAGCATTAATATTTACAAGTTTAATATTTCATGGGAATTAACAGTACAGCCGTAATTTCTATCGCGCCACTTGGTTTTTGACAGCTTTGGAAGCTGGATTTTGGACTGCAATGCCGATTCGACCAAAATTTTTAAAGGATATTATGTCAATAGTTTTTTCGGCGTATTACTTAATATTTGCGGACCAAGCCGATGAAAAGGTTTGATGATGCAACTATAAAAATTATTCTTACCATATGCAATTATTTCTTCGCTTTCATTAATTCAAATATAAAATATCTATTAGACGCGTCGAATACGTGCTACAGTTACTGTTGAGCACATCCGATCATCCTGGGAAAGAATGCTGAACCCGTATCTTCGTGCAGCAATAAGTCTCACACACCCACACCTCCGCATTCATCAAAAGAGAATATATCTTCAACGCCCAAAAGAAAACCCATACAATAAAAAACAAATTCCCGCATACATATATTACTCGGGTACCGAAGAGTCTTTCCAAACTGCCGATTGTCTAATTCTCCATTACCCTGGTGGTGGTTTTATTAGTATGGCTCCACCGTGTCACGAGGATTATTTGTCATTTTTGGCGAAATGGACTGGAGTGCCGATTTTGAGTGTTGATTATGGAAAAGCGCCCGAATATCCCTATCCTTATGCACTCGAGGAATGCTTTGATACTTATCGAAGTATTATGGAAAGCAATGGTGAAACGATTGGAATGTGTGGATGGCTGAATAAAGATGGTAGTCAAAGACAGCAAATTAAAATCACTCTGGTTGGTGATTCTGCGTACGTACATTTTTTCTTATATTGAGTTCGGTTTTTTACTAGAAAATATTTATTCATTTCCACATATATGATTAAATAATAAAAGCGGTGGCAATCTGGTGGCTTCAGTTATGTTCAAAATTCTCGAGTACCCGAAACCAATAGCACAGCCTTCAGGACTTGTTCTTATATATCCATGTTTGAATTTCGATATCAATTGCTGGATGCCACAATCACAACTATCAGTTATACGCGCAGAATCCACCGAATCAATTCCCGGTGTACTTGAATCAAAAGATCATTTACACCATAAAAGTCCATTATCTGTTGTGCCGGATGTGAAACCGAAAAGACGGTGGCGAAGAAGATTTTCTGGTTCAACGGATGATGAAAGACCAATTGAAGAGAGAGTTCAGTTTATCGAAGGGCAAGAGTTAAAACCTAACGAGGAAAAACGAAGAAGTCAAATTATTGGTACACGACTGGCTATGACTAGTCGTATGAGTTTCTTTAATGATAGGATCCTTACACCTGATTTGGTAAACACATATATATTTTTTGACGCGTTATTAGTATAAAATGTTAATATCAATAATTTAATTTTTTCACGTTGAAAAGATGCGAGCAATGGCACTTCTTTATCTTGGACCAAACAACTATCCAGACTTCACATCAGACTATTATCTTTCCCCAATTGTAGCACCAGATGAACTGCTAGCACGATTTCCCAAAACGTATCTCATGTGCGGCGAAAAAGATCCATTTGTTGACGACACGGTTATTTTTGCGGGACGTATTCGTGAAGCTAAGCGAAGAAAAAGGCAGCTCGCTGACGGAGGCAAATACGGAGAAAGTTTCCGAATGAGCGGCATGTCTAGTGCGAAGTTTGACGACGTTATCGAGGTTAAGGTGTTACAGGGTGTTAGCCATGCCTTTTTGCAGATGCTGGCATTGTTACCAGAAACTAAAGGCGCTGTTCGAGCACTTGCTAGATGGTTAAGTGCAAGCTTTGAAGAGAAATCTGCTACGCAAAAGAATTTTAGTAAAACTAATGGTGGTTTACAAACTGGATCAGATGTGATCAATGAAGATGATGAAGGAGTAATATTCACATCACGTCGGTCTACAATCAATGACCTTACGAAAGCAAATCCACAGATACTACAAGAAGCTAACGACGAAAATTTTCCCAATTCATCAACTAATTATAATCATCCCAATTACAATCACAATAATAGTATAGATATTACTATACCACAAAATTCACAACCTCACATATCTGCTTCATTTCAAAATATAACTCTGCTCGAGAACGACATCCACGTAAATGGCAACGGTGCCTCTGCTCTCCCTCATCATATTCACACTTCTGCATCCGAAACCGTAATAACACCAACAACTCCGCATCATGAACGAGAACGTGTTCTCTGGGAACAGAAAAACATTCTCAACGAAGCAGAAATTCTAAGGCGACGACGCGAAAATTTGGTTCGTGGGCTGCGTGACGGATGTGATGAACAATCTTCTTCTATGGACGATTCGTCGTCTTTGGATCCTTCTGTTTTCAATGAGTCGGGAATGCCAGGTGTTATATAAATAGATATGGCATTGACTATGATTAGTTTTGTCATGTAATTATTATGTGGGTTAATTAAGATTGCAAGCGATTGTGTAATTGATTCGTTTTAATACTTTATTGGTATTGTGTAATTATATTTTTTTATTAAGAGGTGGAAACCTTATTAAACTGAATAATTTAACTTTTGTCCAGAATAATTTGTTGTGAATAATTAATTCAAACAAAAAGGCATGATGTTTTCATAATTATTTAATAATATTACTGATAAAGAATATTATGTACAAATAACAATAAAAAAGATCTTTACCCCTGTAAAATATACAAGCATGAGACAAATAAATAATAATAATTGATAATAATACACGCTAATAAAACACGATAAACATTAGATTGACTGACTGATCTTTGTAAAACGCAACATCTATATTATTAAAAGTCATCGTCGCTTTCTTCTGCATCATCATCATCCAGCACATTTCCACTCGTTTCTTCTTCGGACAGTATGCTCACCACATCCAGATCGCTGTATACGGGTTCTTCGTCTGCTATCGTGAAAACAGGTTTATGCGTTCGTGCAATCTTTATCAAGATGAAGATTAAGAATTCTAATCAAAATTTGTTACATATATTTAAAATGATGTATTATATATTATATATACTTCTTCGACCCTCTCGCAAAACGCCTCAAATTCCTGGGCGTTTCGGCAATAGAACCCAAGTAGCATCGACGGGTCTAACTGAGATATATGAATTTTTCGTAGAGCGTCACAATGAAAAGTGGCCAATTCCTGTTATAATATTAATCAGTCGATCTGTCATTTAGGGTATTTACGAAAAGAAGGTGTGTAATAAGTAATCCCTTACATACCTCATCTGTAAATTCATCAATATCTTTTAAATCAATAACTGGTCGCGAATGATGCGGATCAAGATAAAACAGATCATCTCCTAAAACCATATTGATGAAAAATTATAGTATGAATTTGTGAATTACAAGTAATAATGAAAGAGAATTCAAAAGATCCCAAATGTAAACACAAACCTTGAGTCCCGATAAAGTAATAGGATGATGATGGCTTTCCACTACGAAATAAATTTTATGGAAAATCTGGATATAAGCTTTAACTCAATAATGTATATGCATGTGCGTATTTACCCTGCTATCCCTACACTTTCTGGAAATCGAAAGAATGCCTTCAGCGCATCATAGTAAAGTGGATTAAGCTTATTGATGCCCAGTCGAATAGCCACCAAAATCAAGACCGACTGGAATTCTTGATGGTTTTGATTATTTCGTGCTGCTTTGTATACCTCATTCTTGTATACCACTCCGTCTGTTGCAACGTGAACACTTAATTGTGCAGTGGGAAAGTTATCAACAAGAGCCCTTTAATTATCAGAATAAAATTCAAAGTTAAACATTATTAATACCTTAAAAATTCATTTAATAAATTCAATACAATTATTTATAGTATACACACCCCTACAATATATTACCGGAAATTTCAAAAATGCATGTCACTTTGGAACCCGATATCTCGACATCCGGTGATCCCATTCGATTCGTCTCGACTATACGAATCTAATGGTTATATCTTTGTTCGAATGGGATCACCGGATGTCGAGATATCGGGTTCCAAAGTGACAAATTCATTTCCGGTAATATATTGTAGGGGTGTGTAGATAGACCGACTTACTTTATGGCTTGTGATGCAGTCGATGGTCCGAACCATTCACCGATATTCTTTCCGAGTTGTTTTCCCAAAAGTGCAACACGATGAACAGAGAATGGACAAATCGATGACATATCATCAAGGAACCAAAGCAATATCTTATTTTCCAATGAATAAATTGATAATTTAATTATATAGAAAAATTCCATTTTAATGCTGAAGAAACTAAGAAATACTCAATCTACTTGTGTATATGTTCCCCATGTATCTTCCCCTTTACGAACTCTCCGCCATTCTGAATTAATAGTGTTTAGTAATCACGATTATGATGGATGTATGATAGATTTTGATTTATTGACTGACTGATTGGTAAATTTCATGATAATTAAAAGCCATACCTCGACCTAGAAATTGAATTATTAACGCATTCGCTAACAGTGATTGCCCAGTTCTCAGCATACATCCCCATCCAGAATCACTCGTGAAATTTGTTGGTCTTATTGGTGCATAATTATGTCGGTAAGTGCACCATATTCTTGACGTAAAATCATCGTAAAATTCACTGGGATATGACGCAAAACTTAGTTGATGTTGTTGACCAGGCAGATGCGGAAAAGAGCCTGGAGGGGAAAAATAATATGTTGTAGGATCATAGAAAGTACGACTTGACTCGCTAGATGTTCTTTCGGCAACTTCATATCGTACACCCATCAACCAAATACTAGTATCTATCGTAGCGGCACGACTACTAGACTCTGCTGCTCTTGTTGTTGTTGGATCATTTTCAAAACTATCGAAAAGTCCTCGTTTAAAACGGGCATAATCAGGATCATCAACATCATCTTCATCCGGAATGGTGTTTACACTTTCATCCGGGCCATGTGGTGGCACCCAAAATGAACTAAACCAGCTTGATATCCTTTTTCCCATATCAGATGGACTTGAATTCTCACGTAAAGATGACTCTCCACTTCCACCATCATCATCATCATTATTATTATTAGAGGGAAGACGTGTCCGTCCAGGTCTTTGTCGCAACTGTGGTGTCGGTTCCTTATTATTTTCTTGTTCTTTTTCAGATGAGATAGCAATATCTTCAGATAAATTCGACTTTTCTTTATCTTCAATCTCAAATTCACTAGTTTCGTTCCCTATTTCATTACTATCCACATGAATATTTAGATTATCTGAATTCTGTTTGATATTATTATCAGTAGTTGACGTTTTTTCACGGTTCCCGCCGTCAGTCAATGAGATATTAGAAAGATTTTTTTCCAATAATAATGTGTTATTATTATTAGCAGCAGCATTATTGTCAAGCTCTTCTTTTGAATTTAAGACTAAAGGTGCCTCCTCGATAATATTGTCTTCATTAATAGTGTCCATTTTATTAGTAGTAGTAGTAGCAGTAGTAGTAATAGTAGTAATATCTTACTACTTTCTTCCAAGGGTGATTAATGCTTCGAAATATCTAAAACTTTTTAAAGATAACAATAATGCCAAAATACCTGCGGAGAATGGTTAAACACGTGATAATAAGTTTGAAGTCTAATAACGCATGTTTTTGATTTGGGACTTATATTGTATATTTCCTCCGAATATGCATTTAGGGAGCATAGCAAAAATAACGTAAATAACAATACGTAGTTGGTATATTAACGTTAAACATTTCTTACTATAATGATAATTACTATTAAATTAATAAGGTAGAAATACTTCTCTTAGATGTCAAAAGAAATATTTTTATTTTAATGGTATCCGCTATAATAAAGATAATTACATGTTTTGCAGTATATTAAAAATTTGTAATATAAATGGTTAGCGAATTATTTAGTCAACCCACAATCTTCAATAAATATTAATCATTTTGATGTAAAATCAATTCGGAGAATATTCTTTACTTTCTTGCCATTCGTCGTGGTTCCCGTTTGCTGCCACTGCTGCTTCCTTCAATCGTGGGATGACGAGACGATGACGACAACGAACTCTTAATTTGTCCAGATGTTGAGGAGGATGAAGACCTGTTCAACTTTATTGGCGATCTCGGAGTGCTTGATGAGATTGGCTGATGTGACGAAGATGAAGCAGCTATTTTTGTTTTCTTAGAGTTTGGGCTATCGGCATCACGATCTCGGTCTCTTTTTGTAGAAGTTGATGAAGAGACGTGACGGCTAATACGATTTGATGAATCCATTTCCTCAATTGGAGTTTTTGGACGTCTTGTATTTGATGTTATATCATCTTCACGAGATCTTCTTCGAGGTGAAAGTTCCGCGCGACGAGTACCACCACCAGCTTCTTCATGACGTCGTGTAGAAATTGATTCTTGTGTTCTTCTATCGCTAGATCTTCTCTCATCCCTCGGAATTTCTCTGCGTTCATCTAAACGTTGTGTATCTCTAGGTTTTTCTTCCCTAATTTTTTCATTAATTCGCTCCTTATCTCGACGGTGGTGTTCACTCGCTCTTTTTTCTTCGTTAGATGCAGGATTTCTCTTGTCTGGGGATTCTTCAGGGGCTCGAATCCGCGTAGTTCGGTCACGACTGTGTTCTTGAGACCGTTCCATTCTTTCGGGTCTTTCACGTCGGGAATCTGAACGTTCTTCAGCACGCAGCGTTTCGGATTTTTCAGGTTTAATTTGTTCTGGTTTTGGTTTTTTTGGTAGTGGATGAACCATTGTGCCAGATTTTGGCGCGAGATTAGACGGAGATGAAGCTGAAACAGGTTGACTTGTAGAAGCGGGTGTCAACGATATTTGTGGGGGTTTTGGACTTGAAACCCTTGAAATCGGTTTTTTCTCTGGCTGAGGTGATTGTGATGATTCAGCGGTTGATGTGCTTGCAGGTTGAGCTACTGATTGGGAAGATGGTGTCTGTTTATCAGTTTTTGAACTTTCAGCAGTGGTAGAATTTGTTGTAGGTGTAGATCCACCTTTTCTACCTTGTTTTGGCGTATAGAACTTTTCCTTTAGAACCCAAAATTTTTCTCGTTTCTGTAGTATCCCCACATAACTTTTTGCAAGAACTTTGATTTCATCAAGTTCAGATTTATTGGCGATTTCGTCCACCTTCTTTTTTAAAGCATCTCCATGTTGTATAAGCGCCGGGAAATAGTCGCTGATGCAACTGAGCGCGATCAAAGCATTTCGATACTCTATGAATTGACTTGATCCGAGAGCATTGATGAAAGCTGTTCGAAGCTTACAATGCCACTTATGAAATACTTCACGGAATTCTTGGTAATTAATAAGATCTGTTTTGGAGACAACGAAAGCCTGTCGGTTTTGCGTAGGCCATTTCATTATGAAGCCAGGTAGTCCATGCTCACCTTGTCCATATTGTTTAAAGGCTTCTTCGTCACCGTGGAGCTTGGAAAGAAATTCCAGGATGGTGTTTAGAAAGCGGCCATAGTGTCTCGCCTCTTGTTCTGTCATTGTGAAAAGGATTATTTGAACTGATTCTGTGAAGATTTGATCGTATAATGTCAATGTAGAGAAGTTTGCGGTTCCTAGTTCATGCATCCGTTCAATGAATTTCGCGCAGTAGAGCGCATCATCTGCCGAAGAGGAAAGCCGCGGATATAGACAATGTTGCCAAATGGCGTTAACAATTTCTTTTCGTTCCGCTAAAAGGTTCGAGAACCAGTGGTCTTTTTCAATGTTGAGTCTTTCCTTAGCACGAACGTAGTGAGCTTCGTGTTCAATTCGGTCTTCGTCCACCTTTTTTTGAATGCTCGTAAATCTCTCTTTTTCACGTTTTGACCGATGATTTTCATTTATTTGTTTTTTTAATTGGGCTAAATAACTCGAATAGACTTCTTTAGGGTATATGATATCATAAAGAGTCATTTGCCAAAACGTCGTATAAAATTCGGGACTTATTTTTTCCCAGACTAGAAGCGGTAAGGTTCTCTTGACTTGCTCATATGTCTCAAGCAAACCCTTTTGCCAAATGGATGAATTTTCAGACTGAGTGATGTCTGTAGAGCTTTCTTGACTAGTTGGTGCTGTTGGTTCATTAGGTGGATTAGCAACCAAGTCAGATAATTTTCGGCGGCAGATACGGAAAGCAGCGTCTGGTTCGAGGCGATGGTCAGTTCGCAATTCTTTTATGGATGGCACACGATTCGAGTAAGTGGTAAGCGAAAGATGAAGCGAAAGGAATTCGCAGTATTGCAAGAATAATCCTTGAGACTATACAAAATTATACCTTTAGGTGTTAACAGTAATTATTCAATTAATTGAAATATATTAATAAACAAATAGGGACCTACTCTGTCAACACCATTAATTATCAATTTTATATGATGAAAATCTTTGTCCCCTTTTTCGGCGAAATGACGTTTTAGCCGGCCAAGTTCAATAGCTATCGGTATTGCCAGGCCAGTTCTCGTTAACGCCTCAGCTAATCTTCTCGAGCTCTTGCGAATTGATTTATCAGTGAACCCATATAGTTTTTCTTTTCGAACATTATCTCCTGTTCCCTTTACAGATATATCCGTAGGTGATAAGACTCCTACAGCTCCAACAGTAGATGTGATTCCGCCCATCGCGTCAATCAACTGTGATAATACGATAAGATCATAAGCCTCTAATCTCTTCAGTTTTAGATATATATATTTGAGTATGGATTCAATAGAAAAGTTCCCATATTTTCGGCATATGTTTCCACAGAACGTAGCAAGATCTATAATAGAAATAGAAGCGGCCCAATTAAATATATTTACTAAAAATCCAAGATAAATCCAGAAAAATACATACTCACTAGCCAACTTGCATAATTTTGTCCATCTTCTTTGACTTTGTTATTATTAGAGGCCAAAATCTCGAGTACTAAGTATATTATCACGTCGAAAGACAAAGAAGATAGATATTTACAAGACTCAACTAATGGCATCACTAAACTCGAATGATTCCTGACCCATCTAAGTAATGTATTGAACATTACTATTGGATTTGGATGTGAGCTTCTTCCAATCTGTCGACTGAAATCGCGATAATTTTCATCAGTGATGCGACGTGTCACGTAGTTAATAACTTCCTGAGTTTTACGAATTGCAGGTTTTAATTCATCATCAGGATTCTCACAAATTCTTTTCCATTCTGCATACAGCGCAAATCTAAAGTTACGTGAATTAATGATATTAGCTTACTAAAAAAAAAGATAACTTTATTCAAATATAGTGAATTTTTATTATTTACCGGTCTTCGAAATTGATCAACTTTAATAGATCCCACGCTTCTCCAACAAGTGAAGGTATTTCTGCTATCAATGCGGTCAATGTAATTCCGGGTAGTATGACCATAGCACAAATTTTGTACCATTTATCTTTGATTTTTTGTTTGGTTTTGTTCATCTTTTGTCTCGATTCATTTGTATTTTTTTTGAGATCATCAGTTTCTAGATATTTCTCATCATTTATCTATTATAAGCAAGGACCACAGTAAAAAAAAAAAAAAACTTAACAAAATTATATCATAAAAATAAAAAATATTAACAAATTACATCAAAAATTTTTAAGTACTTTTTTGAGCTGGGCTCTGCCAATTCTTATAAGTCTGGTTAGAGATGGAATATCTCTCGCGAATGCAGTTCCGATCAACAGAATCAATTCGTATCCTTTTTCTGTTACTTCTTCAACTTTATTAAATTTCGTGATAATTTCACTTTTCTCGTGGTAGAAATGTGGTGTTCTTGATTGATGGTTTCTTATACCCGTATCACATTCAAATATATAAGCAGGTTTAATGGCAATTTCAAATATTGTGCGAAGTCGATCTCGAATCTCGTTGCTGAGTTTCAAGTTATCTTTACAATATATGGGATATTTTGCATCCTGAAAATCGCCAATTTCCAATAATCCTACTATTATCTCCTCTGTGTGCCCCTTAAGATAAGGAAGTACATCAAGTATACACGTCAATCTTTGGTGTATACATATTGCACAAGCTAAGTTTAATAGTTCAATGTTCTTTTCAGCAAATGCTGCATTGTCGGAGAAATGTCGCTGGTATCGGTGTCCGAAAAGTTGCCCAATAAACGGATTCCCAAGGATACTTGGCCTTATATCTTCATCAATACCATCGACCTCTCTTCGAGCATCCAGCATCAGTACATCACCATCATCCGTATTAATTTCACCCCATGGAGATAGTTTCAAGAGCGCTATAAAGATTTTATAGTCCGTCTTTACATTTTCAATTAGCGCGTCCAGTATTAAATCTAGAACACGATTCGGGTCCAGTCTAAAATATCCAATGTACGCGCCAAGATGCTCTAATAGAACTTGAGCACGTTTGTTTAAAGATATCTCATCTTCATTTTGATACTGTGGACCGACTGCTGCTGCTAATTCCTCTATTAATTTTGCGAATCCCTCTGATTCTTCGTGTAATAAGTTGTATTTTTGTTGTCGGTATCTATTTGTCAAGACAGATTAATTTTTTAGTCAAAAGTCGAGTGAATAAATTGATGATGAGTGACAGTATGATTAGGAACTTACTGCATTGACGTATTTATTCTGACAGATTTTCTTTCAAATGCAGATGGATTCTCAATAAGGTTAACACGTTTAAGCATGGTAGGATCGAGCCGTGTCTTTAATACGCGACTATCGACATACTCTTTTTCCTATTAAATATAAGGCAAAGATTTTAATATTTGTGCAAATTTACTTTCCACAAGAACAATATGGTTATTTGCAAATTCATTAAAAAACATTGTAAAAAATTCTCTAAACTATTCTCTACTTCTTGCAGACATCTTACCTTAACATAATTCATTATCGAGTCCAATCGTTCTCTGGTCACTGAAGCTGGCTCACCAAGAAGAATCGTGTCTTCCGAAGACTCCAAATCGGTTTCCCAAATGTAGTCAAGAAACGTATCAATCGCTGCATTTTTAATTTCATTCGACTGATCCTTGATTTCCTCAAAGAGGCTGTCGATATCTTTTGTTCTTGTGTCTCTGTCAGCGATTTTGAGTAAATCTGCTGTTCGTTCTAGTATTGTTTTTTCTTCCATGGCTTATTTTTTGTTGATGATAGATAAATCAGTAGAAAAGATGAACTTTTACTTTTTTAACATATATTTCGTGTGGGATAGAAATTTATAAATATTGGGTTGATCATCTAATCGCTCAGTATAGAATAATAATAACTTCCCCGGATGCCGGAAAAACAAAGAACGACCCGGAAGATTTGCCTTTATTTAAAATTCGATCGGATCTACTTTTTGTTTGTTTTTTTTTTTACAATGCCGTGCTCATAGGGGGACATTCGTGTGATTGGCTGATTTTCTTAAGATCTACATCGTAAGATCGATTATACAAATTTAGTAA